TGCTTCAAGCTCAACTAGAAGAAGAGACAAGCATGGCACTGATGATATTGCAGGAGTTTCTATAAACCCAACTGATCAAATTACCACAAAGAAACTTAAGTAAAGAAACTTAAATGTTAACCTGAATCAACAATATTATGTTTTTATGCACTGTGTAAAGAAAAAGATAATCCAATTACAGTGGCGAGATTAACGTTTTAAATCTTAGGCAATTCAACATAACCAGAGATTATATATGAGCGAAATCAAAGAACTATTTTATCTAAAACTGTTGCATCAATATTTGTATTCCTACATTCATTCAACCAATCAATAAATAGGAATAGTTTTAATTGGATAATCCCAATAATCTGGTATTTCAGGCAGTTCTTAACTCGAATAATGCTAAACAAATACGATATAATAACATGGTCCAGTATTTACAGAAAGTCTTCTGACTTTTATAGCAGTGTGGCTATAATAATAATTATAATAGGCTTTCAGGTCAAAGCTGCTTTACGCAAAATGACATAAAATTTTTATAGATCTGTTAAACTTTAATGTAAAATTATTTGCGACTGACTCGGATGCATTGAATCATAATGTATTGGTTACACGAGCTTAATATTGGTCTTTTAAATAATGCATTCTTGCGGTCCCTTTTTTCATTCAATGACTATCAAAACGTCGTAAAAACTGTGATATCCATATGTTGACTTCTATCAATAACCAAACATGTGATTTTTACACATTTTATGACGTACGTAACCGAGGCAATTTTCATGTACTTACTAAATTATAAAGCTATGAAAAACTAGAAAAGAATGAATGACTGCAAACAAAGAGTTTTAAAGAATTTCGTTACTAAGGGCATATATTATTGTATACATAAAGGGATGGAGAAGTTACATAAGGTTTTTTAAAAGGTTGAAGTGTTTCAATCTTTAGGTTGAGATTCACATTCAAATAAAAATCTTCATTTAAAACAATTTTCAAAATTTAATAAACAAAAATAAACATCCATTTTCAGTGTATTGCAAGCCAAGAAAATATTCAAAAAGTTAAGAGCTTAATTATAAAAGTAACAATTTTATTTCTTCCTTCGAAAATCACTTTAAGTAGAGGTCAGTGTAAAGCCCTAAAAAGAAAATGTTCTGGAAAAGGGGCATCCTTGGCTGCATGGTAATAGTCTTTAAATTCAAACCACTTGCATAACACTGTTGTGGGTTCAAATCTCGCCAGGAAATTTGGATTATTTCATGTGAGGAACCTATCCATATAGCATAAGGACAGTCAGTTCTACTCCGGTCCCGCTCATGACTGAAGTAGTATACAGAGGGACACAGAGGTCTTACTCCACCAGTAAAACTGGACAGCTGCAGAATGAACTTAATTTACTATGTTGGTACATGCGACTTAAAACTAAAACTCAAAAAAAGTCATAGTTTTGCACTATTCCTTACAATCTATGAAACAAGTTCACTGATGTGACCCTGGAGATTTCATCAGTGGAATAAGTTTATCAAATTATTCTATCATACATGTTAGGTATTTACTCGAGAGATTTCAAATGATGTGAGACTTTACCTCATTATTATACCATTTCTGCCAATAAACTATCATTTACACATTTTTTCAACAATTTATTTGACAACTAGGTCTTCAATAACTTTCATTCTATGAATATTTTTTCTGGAATTCCTAAGATACTGGTCTAATGATGATCAGATTTTAGATAAAGTATATTATACCCCTTAAAGTAATGTGCTTTCCCTGCTTAACATTTGGACCAGTCCATTGAGGATTTCTATATCAATCAAAATACAAAAAATTTGCAGTAAAAGTACAGCACATACATTTTAGGCTGTTCACTTTCGGATTACAGCAGTGCAAGATAATTTTTGTGCTAATAACTTTCAATGACAACCGTTGATGTTCAGACATTCAAAAAATATAAAAATGAAAACATAAAATTTTAAATGTTCATATTCTTGTAAATTATTAAACCATCACAAATGACTAAAAGCTGCACTAAAAATTGCAAATTTAAATTGTCAATGGGAAAGGCTTACGTATTACTTACACTTAAAATTTGTTAATTTATTGTTAAAAGTGGTATATCAATAGAAGATCAATTACACACTATGTGCAAGTATGAGTTACTTTTATCTTATGTTTATTTTTAACTGCAGACGATCCAAACAGCCCTACATAGTTTACATTTCAAGAATATTAAAATAATTATCTAAATTTTATAACTGATTTTATAATATCAAACAATATGAAATAGTGATTTATTCTCTCATGCTGCCTTAAAACCCTCTAGCACTATACCACAACTTATTACTGGGACCACTGTGAGCTACACTGTAACAATTTGCCCATGCATACATAGATCTACATTGTACATATCAGTTACTTCCAAAAAAAAATTCCTCTAAAAATGACCCTTTCATCAGAATTACCTCCCTTATTTTTAAAATAGATCAAGGTAAGCAGTTAGACCCATTCTTCATTTTTCAGACCCCTTGCACCAAGAAACCTTTATCATACATCTTCTTGTATTGTTACAGCTTGAAAAATCCAACAAAACAAAGGCTATTCAAACACTAACCCCACAATTCTTATCATAACTGACAGATTTCCTGCCTCTAGGGGGTTTTACTATCACCCCCCTAGGGTCACAGACCACCCAATATTAACACATACTCATTCAACCCTTCACAAAAATTGCATAACTTATAACAAATCTTATCTATTTTTCTTATCCCAGACTGCTTCCCAGCTATGGGAATTCTGTCATCCCTAATATTTGAAACCATCATTGATACTTCTATGATAATACATAAACTTAAAGGAGGGAGAGAGAAAAAAAAATCTGTATCTTAAGACACAAACAAAAAAACCTGTATAAACTGTACATGTCTATCTCATAAGCATTGTAAATAATAACTGCCAAATTTACACCTCTCAATCCAATTTCCATCATTAAAATTCAATTAACTCTAAAGTGTCTATAATCTTTGAGATTGTTGACATCAATAGTTTATTAGACATAATAATGCAGGCCCGTCGTCACGATTTTGTGATTGGTGCGGCCAATTTGGTAGATTTTAGCCAGAATCTAGGGGGGTACGGGGGCATGCTCCCCCGGAAATTTTTTTATTCTAGGATGCTCTCAGGGGCGTTTTCCCGTATATTTGGCACATTTTACAGCCTGTCGATAGAACATGTTATAGTAAAATGTCAACAATTTTTTTTACAGATTTAAGTGCGTCGTAAGTTTTAAGGGTGAAATTTAAGGTTTGCATAACGGACAGGCAGGTGAACATTAAAGATGAATACATGTAATTGGTATTTGGCGAATGAAAGATAAACATTCTAACACTATCGGAATTTTTTCTATACATGTATAAACAAAGCACGTCCGAAGCGTGCATTATTCTACAACAATGCACTCGCCGTTCTTATTATCTCCCTGTGTATTTTCACATTTATTCTTTTGAGCTCCGAGAATGTCCTTTCACTGGTAGCATTAGTAGCAGGCGTTACTAACAAATTTTTTAACAACACAACGACCTCGATCAGTTCTAGCACCGATTGTTTTGACACAAATTTCAAAGCGTCAGGTAGAGTAACAGTACTATTTTCTGATTTGTCAAAATGTGAACGTTACAGCTGAAGCTGCACCTCTAAGATGTCTCGGTTAATATCGTTGCAATATAAATCACAACAAAACCAAGTTTTCTAGTGAACGGTCTTCAAAGGTTGTGCGGCCTTAATAAATAAACCCTCCACGTTCTGAAGTACGCGATATCTCGGTTGGTCAAATCTCTCTATAACACTGGCCATGGCAAGATCGATTGCTTCAAAATACTTAGGCCGAAACACGTCCTGCACTGTAATTATGTAATAGAGTAATTGAATGAGTTTATTACTGAATTTATTTTAGGAGTTGAGTGAAAATTTATTTTATTCAACGAGTTCAATAAATTCAGTAATGAACTTACATGAATTCAATATTCTGTTTATAACATACCAAAATAAGTACCTTTTGAAGTGAAAAAAGAACCATTTTTCATTGACGCCCATAGAAAAACGCTAACATTTATATAGTGTGTATAACGCAAATGACGTCAAAATATATGCACGGCCGTGCAATACCATTTTTCAAGGAGTCGCAAAAACGGCACGGATATGTGATAAAAATATGACTTTTGAACGGTTGCCGTGTACAATCAATAAAATATTATCAAGTTCTCGGAGAATTCAGGCATACGAGTTCAAGATACTCATAATGCACATATATATACATGTATATACGGTGAACTGTACAAAGCCACGTCGATGTCAATTAACTTCACACTTAACTTCGTAAGACCCCTACATATACCTGGTCAATTAACAGTGTCCATTTGTTTCTTCGCGTCATGTTTGTATGTTACCGCGTATTGCATAAGGGGCCAGTTAAGTGTCAAATTGCTAATCAGCGATGCGTGTTTTTCTAATTTAAAAAAAAATTTTTTTTGTTTTTGTTTTTTTTTTTACTCATTTTTTGGCCAAAATATTGGTCCGGCCAAGGCCGGACCGGCCAGACCATTGACGACGGCCTTGTAATGTATGTACATAATACTTCAAAGCCCCTATATATAAGTATCAGAGTAAAAGTGAAAACATTTCTTAACAAGTCTGACTCACGTACATGAAAAAGGTTTCTTTTGAACAATTTATACAAATTTACAATCCCATAATCAGCAGCTCTTCAAAAAGGAGATTAAATATTTAAAGAATTTTTCACTCTCCACTTTGAAGAGTATCAGGGCCATTTGAAAAATAAATCCAAAAAGAAAGAAAAAAATCCACTCGATATCATCAATAAATAAAATTTATCATATAAAAGATGGTGACTTTAAGTTAACTCATTAAACTTGCTGAAAATGTAACTTTAAAACATCACTGATTTGTGCTACAAATAAAAAACAATATGGGTGGGGTAAGAAAAATATATTGATAATACCCACCTTTTTCCCATTCCAACAGCATTCTTTCTGTTTATATGACCATTTCATCATGTTACTTGAGTTAACCTCGATATAATTCCTTTACACTCCTTTGATATTCCTTTTATCACCCCCTTAATTAAGGGTCATCCAATTATTTATGTCCATCTATAAGAATAATCCTGTCAACTTTTTTTCATTTTTGAAATCCCCTGAACTTTTCCACAAAATGTCACATTTAAATATCACACACATAAAAATTTATGTCTTTTGTTAATGGTGTTCATTATTTTTGCACACTATCATGCAAGCAAACATTTAAATACCAACCTATAAAAAAAAAATTCACATTTTTCAATTTTACTCACTTTGTTGCATTTCCAGCACATAATTCAGTGCAATTTTTTTTGCAACTGAGGCAATCTGTGTTTCCAATAAATGATCATTAAATCATTTTTAATTTGATTACACACCACTAAATTTCAATAAAACTCCAGATATCGCCAATTCTTTAACATTAATTTAAAAAATTGCGCACTTATGACATTTAAATCCATACATCACTTTTGAAACCAAAGCCTCCAAATAAGACGATGAAGAACTGTAGGCTGTTAAAGAGGAAAGAAATCGAGAGTTTCACCGAGAAGTGGCAATCAACTGGCTTCTAATATACTCATTAGCTAAATCCCATGGTGAAATGAAAACTCTAATCAGAACAGATATCCCAGGCATCCCTCTACATTCAGATTCTCTACTCAATCATTTACCTTTAACATTCCACTCCTTTTGGGACATTAAAATCTCAGAAAATTCAACAAAAATATTTTTCTGTTGTTTTAACCATTATCTACAAAGCTGGTATATCCATTTACAAAATCTATCCACTTTCTTTATCATTTAACACTCCTTCTATCTTATCCCATTGGAGACAGAAAGTAAAAATTCCTTATCAAACTATATCTGCCGATACTCCACAGTTTTCTCAGCAATCTGCATTTTTCATGTTTCCCCTGCCCTGATTTTAAAGATTTCCCATCAATTATATCCAACACCTAATATTCTTTTCCACTACTTGTATTAAATTTAAATCCATCCATCGTAAAAACTGCCCACGGTAATTAATGAAACAAACTGATGCATCCAGACCGAGAGCCACTCGACAAAACATGTGTACACTCGACAACAAGCCTGCTAAATGACTAGCTCAGTATAGCGCAAGCAAGGACAATAAAAAAGCAATGTCTTTCTAACAATATATACAAACAATATCATAACGTTAAGTTGAACGTTTTTGTCAATAATACTCGAGCCAATCAAGCGATACACCACACTAGATTAACAACTTTGGTATTCCCGTTCACGATTAGTTAAACAAATAACTACAATGTGTAAAATAATTAAGACTAAAAAGCCAATTGGAAAGAAAAGCATTCCACTCTATAATTCGTCATACAAAATTATCCAAACAATTTTAATAGTTACATAAACCATCTTATATGGCCTTTTGTTCGAGAACAGAAAAAAAATTCGCAAAATAAGATAAAAAGATATCTGTAAAGCTCTCAATACTTGCAATAAAGCCTGAATGGCTTAATGCTTAAACCAATTCTCACGATGAGCTGACCAAAAAGAATATCCAATGTAAACTTAACAATAATCTTGTAAAAGATAATTTTCTATACACTTGGAGATAGGGCTAACAGTTTTTACAGATAAATTATTGAAATTTTGTAGCGAATTGATCTTTATTAAATTTATGAATAAGATACGGTCATCTTACGGACACATCGAATTATTGACGGAGGACTTGAAACACAATACGTATATCACAAAGTAGATAAGATAATTCGCCTTTGATTTATAACATTTAAAGAATTAAAAACTTCGCTCTCATATTTTAAGGCAAGTGTTTTTTCTTTCTACAGAATTATGAATGTGGTTTAAAAATATACAGAATTTAATAAAATCACTGCCTTGCTTCCAAAATGTAATAGAGTCTTACAATAATGTTTTATTAAGTTATACCCAATACTTGCTTGGTTTAAATCTTTAACCATCTTAAAAGATGCCATTGCCAAACCCAAAGAGAAAATCAAAGCTGTCGATAAGCTAATTATAACATATTTTAATTTCTGAACAACTGTCATAAAAAAATTAATTCAAGAAGCTTTAAATGCCACACAAAAATTCGTCAATTCAAATACAATGTTAACAACAAATTAATTTCTTGAAATTAACTGATTTCATACAGTTTGATTGTGTAGAAAGCTTAATATATAGAGCTAATTCAGGACCTACAGTATGGTCTTATTTATTTCCTGAAACTTAAGCAGTACGCTCTTGTGCCAATTGAGGAAACTAATGTTCCAAAGGCAGATATCTTAGCCACCTGACCGAAGTGAGCGGCTCGATCAAATTTACAGAATTTCTAAACATCCGAAACCTTTGATACCTTCTTGATTACTGCTTGCTTTTAAATATAAAGATTAAGTTTGATAATCTAACGCAAGTTTTCCTTGACCTCAAAAGTAATTTTTGCAACATCACTTGATCAGCGAAATGATAGTTTCATCACATGACATAAAAAGCTTACAAACTGTCTTAAAAGCTTAATTATCAATATTATCGTAATATTTAAATAACAAAATAAGATATTTTTCGGGGGGCATCGCACCATGATCTAGCTGCCACAAGAACCGAGATAACATTTTCATAACTTTGACAGTGATTGCCCTTAATACTTAACTCAGCATTTTGCCAAGATCACAAGTCAAGATCTAACCTTACGCTGGCAAATTCAGAAATTTCAAACAACTAAAGAAAATATCATTTTACAATTAGTTGTTCAAATTTTTTTTTATTGTCGACCAGGTGTATAGTTTGTTATAATGAAGGATCGAAAGGTGAAAGAAAGAAAAAATTGTTACCTCAGTGAGATACTGTTGTAACTGTATGTAAATTTAAAAGCAGATAGGACATTCTAGTATAAATCCAGGTAAGAAAGAATACTCTTTTTTTGCTTCACACAAATGGTGATAAATATAATTTTCAATGTTTCTAATTTGACAGGTATTTCAAGGTTTTTGCAGTTACAAAACATTTAAATTACTTTCATTTTTTATCAAAGAGGACAGTTTGAGTTCTTCAATTCTTCTAACAACAATTTGCAAAAAATTTAAGGGAATATATTATAGTACTCAATGATATCTTAAGGGACATTTAGTACTTTCATATTTCATGGGACATTCAGTACTTTTATATTTCAAGTGACATTTAGTGCTTAAAAATATATTTTAAGGGGCATTTAGTACCGGTACTTCAATATTGTAAGCTTAGGACTTTTAGTACTTTGATATATCATTTCAAGGGACTTTTAGAACTTTTATATTTTAAGGGACAATGAGTGCTTTTATATTTTAAGGGATATTTAGTGCTTTGATATATTAAGCTTAAGACTTATAGTACTTTGATATTTTAAGGGACAGGCACTTAAATACTGTTGTACTCAAATTGATATTATAAGAGACATTCCTAATGTAAGATCCAAAATCTTAAAATGAATCAGTCATTTTTAATAAAGACACCATCACCGTAGGGAACGTGTTACAGTATCGCGTTTTTCGGTTACAGTATAGAATTTTCAAGATGGAGGATTATTTGTTGGGGGACAGGTAGGTGATTTTTATTCAGGTCCATACTACTAGTAGTGTAGTTTCTAAAAGATACTTTTGTGCTTTGCTTGTAAGGAACAGAATCCGGTATCTAGTCATATATTTTTTCAGACCCTGCACCGCAGGTTTATCGCTATATTGTCTCATAAATATGCAGATTTGACAGTTTTAAAATTTGAATCGAGAGACCAACGCATTTTTCTCCAATTTCGTCATTATTTATGCATGCCTAGAAAAAGTAAATCTGCAAAACGTTAGCCCTTTATGCTAGGAAACGTTTATAAAAAGTAAATGACCCGTTGAACCTTTTTTTCCTGTTGGTAAAAATGCGTTTGAAAAAATAAACAATGTTACAGTATAGAGCGAGGTAATTTGTGCAGGGTTACAGCATAGACCTAGCGATTTGTATCCGATTTTTGTTACAGTTTTATTACCCAGATTTTGGTTACAGTTTAGACTTCGATATTTTCTATATAATTATACTAGGTAAAATGTATGAATGTTACATAGACTTTTTTAAAATCTCTGTGAGCTTATTGGCTCTATGGCTATTCGCCCGTCTGTCGTACACATGCTTGTGCAATCTCATCCGCTTAGTAACTACTTGGCTAAATGTGATGAATTTACATGACTTTCTACCAATTAAGTTGTTCAAATGGTTTCGGTTGCAATCGGGGATATGAAAACCCAAAACATAGATTTTTGAAAAAAGCATGTTTAAAGACCCTTCTCATCTCGAACCAAATGCATTCAAATCAAATCATGATCATGGCGTCATTTCGAATGCTTCTTTGTTGAAGTTACGATTAGTTTGTCATTGTTAAATAAAAAAGTCGTTTTTTTTATTTCAGACATCCTGTATAACAGTTTTCATGTTTCTAAAAAAGAAAATAATATTGGAAGTTATAGAGTATAAATTAAGGTCAGACAATTACAATATCTTCTCTAGTACTAGTGAGCCTGATGGAAGTACATAATAGTGGCAGAGTCGGGATAAGGCCGTTCGACTTCAAATCATTCTTCATTTACTGCTGTAGTTGAAAATCCAATCATGACTTTGGATTCTTTGTATGTGAGGAATCTATCAAGCTAATTTACGGAAGGTCGGTGGTTCTAGTCAGGCGCTCGTGTCTAAAATGTTTCACATAGGGTATATGGGGTCTTTCTTTACACTAAAGCAGGAATGTTTTCACATGACCTCGGTGTCGTTGAAACTTAAAATACAGAAAGCAAGCGTAACAAAATAGAGTTAAACAGAATCGCTAAAGAAATTCCAACACAACAAAATTGAAAATGTTCATAAACCCTTTTAAATACATTATACTTACAAAATACATTATGGTAGATGGAAATTCCAACTTAAAATAGAATTTAAAGTTGCAGTATTGACTCACTTGCCTGCTTGTTTTTATTGTGTCTTTTAATAGCTTATCTATGGTATGCAGGCTTTCATAATCCACGATCCCCCTCTTCAAAATTTTCATTTTGTTTAGTTTTTCACTCATTGTATTTCTTGTTTTTTGGGCACACCACGAGTTTTAACCTGAGGGGGATATGCCGCTTTTCATAGAATGGCAATAACGTGTTCACATTGAGGTTCCATGATAACCGCCATATGAACACATCCACAGATGTTAAAAAAGTCTGAGTACCAGTTCATGTTTAATGTGAATTCTGCTGAAGCCGGTGCTAGGAGGCGGAACGGTAAGTGAACGGTAGCTCGCAGTTACCACTACCGTCCATGAACAGGTTTAGTGAAATTGAGCCTGCAACATTTTTATGTTTTCCGTGTGTTGGACTTCTGTTAAGGATTTTTTTTTCTCTATTTTATTACTAATAGGCATTATTATAATGTGTAATGAAATCAAGCAATATAATCTTTCTTCTCTCATTACAATTCGATAAAAGTTACTTTGTTGTCGTGAAAACAGTCCTTACTTAGGACATTACTTATTCTGCAAAAAAGTCTCAATCTGAAACTTAAAGTAAGAAAAATAGCAAACTATTACTTTTCTGCTGAAGAAAAAAGTAATACAACCTTTCAAGAATGTATTAGATAGAAAGGTATGAGTTATTTCATAAAAATAATGGATACACGAACTTTGTTTGAAATTTGGCAAGTATCTAAACTGTAACAGAAATCTGGGTATAAACTGTAACAAAATTGGATCAATGTCGCTAGGTCTATGCTGTAACCCTTCAAAATTAACCTCGCTCTATACTGTAAACATTGTTTATTTTTTCAAATGCATTTTACCAACAGGAAAATAGGTTCAACGGGTCATTTACTTTTATAAACGTTTCTAAACATAAATGACTAACGTTTTGTAGATTTACTTTATCTAGGCATGCTTAAATAATGTCGGAATGGGAGAAAAATGATGTGGTTTCTCGATTCAAATTTTTAAACCGTCAAATCTGCACATTTATGAGACAATATAGAGATAAATCTGCGGTGCAGGGTCTGAAGAAATATATGACTAGATACCGGATTCTGTTCCTTACAAGCAAAGCACAAAAGTATCTTTTAGAAACTACACTACTAGTAGTATGGACCTGAATAAAAATCACATACCTCTCTTCCCATAAATAATCCTCCATCTTGAAAATTCTATACTGTAACCGAAAAACGCGATACTGTAACACGTTCCCTACGGTGACCATGTTTAACATAATACAGAGCTTAAACTTTT